CTGCCACCGCGCAGATCCGCGCCCTCAGGGAAGTGGAAGGCGGTTGGGTTTTCGCGCCCCGCCTCTCTCCTGGCACGCCTGGCGGTGGGGGTGGGGTGTGTCCTCCTGCCCCGAGAGGCCTGGTCGCCATCTCCATGTCCTCCTTGCCGCTCTCCCGACGCTCCGAAGAATGCTAATGTCACCCGAGGAGACTGGGAGGAACTATGGGCTGAACCTTCCGTTAGGAAAAAGCTCTTAATTTTCAAATCCGGGTATCATAGGGCTGGAGTCATCAACTTTGGTAAGCACTCCCAGGAAACCTGTTGCAAGGCCCCTAACTGGGGTCTGAGGTGTGGGGAATGTATCCCTTTATATGTGTATCCAAATTCCCTATTCATATAAAAACACCAGTTATATTTGATTAGGGCCCACCCTAATAACCTCATTTTAACCTAATTAATTCTTTAAAAACCCTATCTTCAAATGTTGTCCCATTTTGAGCTGCTGAAGGTTAAGATATTAACATATAACCTCATCCCAAACCTGGCTTTCTGAGTCTTCTGACATTTCCCTGGGGCTTGGAAGTAGAGGGGAGGTTGCAAGTAATCCAGTTCAAAGTATTCTAGTTCAGAGGACTGACAGTGCATGAAAATGTCCCTGGTCCCACTTGTATGCAGCATAGGAAATGTTGAAAAGACTGTACAGGTCAATGAATCTGATGTGGCAAATTTCAAGGAAAGTAATTCAAACACAAGGTGGGGTCCCAGCTTAATGTCTATTGAATTTGACTTCCATTTGGCAGCTGCCCATCGGGCAAGGAGAGAATTGAAGGTGACTCAGATAGCAGGAGGATATCAGGTGTGTGTGCCTAAGCAGTTGGCTAGAATCCAGGGCAGAGAGAAACTTCCCTGTCTCCATTGCTCTGTTCATCTATACATAATCCTCTCCCCAATAAATAACTGAGATCATCACTTTACATCAGGAACTAAATTACTAAGACTGTGCCCAACATAATATGCAGGAGGTATTGCAGACCTGGAATCCCAAAATCAGAAAAGCTCAGAATTAAATTAAAAATCTCCTGCTCCCCTAAGTTCCTTGGAAATATTCCTTAACTTTATAGATAGACTCATCTAGTTTAATACCTTACCTCTCCTCTTTGCATTCTGTAAGGGGAATGACTAAATAGACATCTGTTGGGCCATTCGGAAGTTGCCTTTGGGGGATGCAGGAGAAGCCCTGAAACCAAGCAAACATTTTCACTTAGAGGAACTCCTTCTTAGCAAGAAATATCTTTGAAATCACTAGATTATCTTAAAACTTATGTTTGTTTTCATATAAATATGCTTTAAACAAATTTGTGAATAAATTATTTAACATTCTCCCAAAACCCACCAAGCAAAATTGATACTTAAAGGAGTTATGCCATATTTATCTTTTGAAACCATATTTAGCTTTGAAACCCCCATCACACCTCTGAACACTGGAACTTGACACCAGTTTCCTGTCACACCACTGAAAACCTGTCCTAGTAAGAAGTGTTACAGTAGAAGAAATCTAGACATAAAATTAATATTGCTAGGGCCTGAAAATACAATATTTACAAAATAATGAGAAATGGTAGATCAGGGATACTGTGGAAGGTTGAAAAATGAAGGTTGTTCTCCAGAAAAATTCCCTGGAGACAGGTGGTAGGGCTGCTATAGTAAAGAACCATAGAAAGGGTGACAAACAAAAGAAAATTATCTCCTCACATTTCTTGAGGCTAGAAGTCAAGATCAAAGGTTGATTTCTTCTGAGACTGTGTCCTTCACTTGTAAATGTCTGTCTTCATGTTCACATGGCGTTCACTCTCTATATCTGTCTGTGTACAAATTCCCTATTCTATTAAGGACACTAGTTATATTTGATTAGAGCCTACCCTAATGACCTCATTTTAACTTAATTACCTCTTTAAAGACCCTATCTCCAAATACTGTCACATTTTGAGCTTCTGAGGGTTAATATGTCAGCATATGAATTTAAGGAGGGATACAATTCAACCCCTAACAGATAGAGGAAAAAAGATGTTTTTCTTTATCTATTTGGGGGCTGGGAGGGAGGAGGTTGATAGTGAGGGTTGCTGTAACTCTCATTAGGGCAAATTGAACAATGTCAGCATAGGGTCTGGGGCAGCATAGGAAGATTACATTAACTAGAAGGAAAACTACAGGCTAGTGGAAAGCTCTGAAGTTTATGGGCCCAGTTGTGTTTTTATGTTTTACTGTAACAAGTGGTTCTCAATCATGGGCAACTCTCCCTGCTCGCACCCCCCACCCGCCACTCCTCCTAGAGGACATTTGACAATGTCTGGAGACGTGGTTATCACAACAAAAGTTGTGCAAATTGCACAGGACAACCCAACTCAACTAAGTATTACCTAGCCCAAAATGTCAGTGGTGCTAAGACTGAGAAACCCTTCTGTAAGAGGTGATAAAAGACCAGTGAAAGATGATAGCAACCATATGGTTGAACTTACCAGTCTCTGGTTATAATATCAAATGACTTCTTGGTAAGTTATAAAAGAAGCAAATAAATTTGGTAGCTAACTAATGATGTTCACTCACAAACATTGCTAAGCTCCAAAAACATACTAGTTGCCGAAGGTACAGCAACAGAGAAAAAAAAATCTTCAAAAACTAAAGTCTAACATGCAGGAGTGATATGATAATGCATCATTTTAGGACTTTCATAGCATTTTCACAATCATTTACTGTGATATAAAGTACAGAGACAAGGGCAAGGCCTCCAACTTCAAGTTCTCTGGTTGGGTAAAAGTCAATCATTTTACACAATAATATTTTGAATAACATCTTCTGCATCTTTATTTCCCATCTCTTGCCATTGAGTAGGTGCCAGTTATTCAAGAATGATGCATTCCTCTATTCTCCCCTCAAAATGATTTCTTCTTTTCTTTTTCTTTTTTAAAAAAACCCCTTTCTTTTCTTTTTGCTCATAAAACATTTGCTTATCTTCTTTCACCATTCCTTATATTGTACAAACAGTGGTCATGAATAGCATGATTGAGCAAGCGTATAAGATTTGCCAGGTGCTGTCACATCTCAGTTAACTCTAGAAAGTATGTGTAATGTTGTAGAATATACAGTTTTTAAAGTGTAATATTAATAGCACTTTCACTTTCATAATATTTAATCTCTGCTTAAAATAAAATGAAAAATGTTTTTTAAAATGTTGTAGAATATATATTTGATCTTTGACCCTGTTCCCTGGCATACTACTCCTAAAATCCTTAGAATCCCCAAAGTGATGTCTGTTTATATGCTATGAAGTAGCAGTTGCCTGGCAGCCCTAAGTGACTTCAAGATGGGACTGGTCACCAGAAAGACCAACACAGGGTTAGAAAGTTGGGGGCTTCCTTTTTTTTTTTTTTTTTTTGAGTTGGAGTCTCACTCTGTCGCCCACATTGGAGTGCAGTGGCATTCTCATGGCCATCCCAGCGTCGACCTGCTGGGCTCCAGCCATCCTTCTGTCTCAGCCTTCCAAGTAGCCAGAATAGGCACACATTACCACGCCCGGCTAGAAAGTTGGGTCTTTCAGCCACATCACTCAGTGGGATGGGGGAGGGGAAAGGGGCTGAAGGTTAAATTGATCACCAATGGTCAGTGGCTTAATCAGTCATGCCTACATAATAAAGCCTTCCTAAAAACCCAAAAGAACTGGGTTCAGAGAGCTTTCAGATATCTGAAAACGTGGAGGTTCCTAGAGAGGGGTGCACACTAGGTGAGGGCATGGAAGCTTTGTGCTTCTCCCCCCATACCTTGCCCTATGCATCTCTTCATCTGTGTCCTTTGTTAATAAAGTGGTAACCTTAAGTAAATGTTTCCTTAAACTCCGTGAGCCACTCTAGCAGATTAATCAAATCCAAGGAGGGGGTGATAACCCTGATTTATTGCCAGTAGGTCAAAGGCACAAGTGAAACAACCTGCAGCATCAGAGGTGGGAGGAGTGCAGTCTTATGGGACCGAGCCCTCAAACTGTGGGAGCTGACGCTAACTCCAGGTAGATAGTTTCATAACCAAACTAAATTGGAGAACACCCAGCTGCTGTCCCCTACAGAACTTATTGCTTGCTTGCTGATGGAAAGAAATCCCTTACGCATTTGGTCACAGAAGTCCTTTCTATTGATTGGGGTTGTGTGAAAGCAGGGGAAAAATAGTTTTAATTTTTCCATACTCGGTATGATAATGATCCCTGTTTTACAGAGGAGAAACTGAGGATCAGAAACATTCATAAACTTGCCCAAACTCACATAGCTAGTGACTAGTTATGGTAAATATGATGATGGACTATTTCAACTCCCATTCCATCATCTATTGGGAACAATTGGAATGCTAAAAAAATCACATTTCCCAGACAATTTTGCATCTAACATATTAAAAAACAAATTGAGCTTCTGCCAATCAGATGTGTTCCTGCTCAGTGTGGCAGGTGGAAAGTGAAACAGTAATTGTTCTGCTTCCAGTCCCGCTGACATGAGGGTTTGTGGCAGCTAGATTCCAAGTATGGATCTAGGCACCAGTTTCATGGGCATGAGAGCCACTGGGGTGGTAGCAGCAAGGGAAGAGCAGGAGTGGTTCCCTAAATTCTGTCCTTTGTCTATGGTGGTATACCCTGATATCAGTAGCCAGTGAGGGCTCTCCAAGTTCTGTTCCACCATCCTTTATAAGACTTTTTTCAACTGATAATTGTAGATTTGAATGTATTTGTAAGAAATAATGCAATGACATGATCACATGTTCAAAAACTATAGTGCAGTATCACAAGTAGGATATCAACATTGACAGAATTTACTAGTCTTATTCAGAGTTCCCCAGTTTTTATACTCATTTGTACAAGTGTGTGTACATTTAGCTCTAAACT